GTCATGTCCTTGGCCATGGTTTTAACTTGAGATTCACGGCGTCACGCAAAACACAACAGCACATTTGAACTTCTCTTAACAAGTGTGTCGCTGTCCAGCTTTTAAAAAAGCGCGTATTGCCACCTACTGGTTGGAGAAAGTAACTGCAATTGTCACGAATCCATTTGACTTTTTAGTAGGGTGCACTGCAGTGGTCACTTATCCTTAGGAAGGTCATCCTTAGGAGACCCGGATGAACCTGCGTGGCGGCCATAATACGAGCTATACTTATTCTCTAAGGCAGGGATCTCAAACTTAACTGAGCTGTGGGCCACTGCTGGAGCTGTCACCTTGTTTGAGGGACACTTTAGTGTTCAAGTAGTACAACCCCCAAACAAACAAACAAGAAAACAATGCCAAATGTTTACGAAAATGTAGTATAGTGTAGTGTTTGCTTTTCAAATTTTCAAAAAAAATTTTTTAAATATTGTATAACAAGACAAAACTGCAGAAGTTTCTCACTCTTAACTACTGCTAACTAACTTCTGCTATAATTTTGTTTGAATTTAACAGAATAAAAATGCAGACATAAGTACACACATTAGTTTTTGACTGTTAGTGAAAACTCTTTTCTTTCCCACTAACTCTCTCACTGAACTAACACAGCCAATCCCTCAACATGTTTGTGCTCTCTGCTCGTATTATCTTCATATTAAATCATTTTTTGATTTTTAAAGAACTTATTTTAACATTGCACTCAACAACAAACAAATCCTCCCTAACAAAAAAAGTAACTTTAGGGGCCAATTTGCATTATATTTCTTCACGTCAACATAGAAGCGGTGATGTGGGCTTAGTGGACTTTGGTGTATTAAACATTTTTTAAGCATACTGTAAAAATCATTACGTAGTTTTAATAACAATTCATTACAATGTAAGCACTCACAAAGCTACTTTGTAAGATACCATAGCTCCCTCTTAAAGTTGCCGGACCATTTTTAACCCCCAAAACCAACTAATTTCTGGTCCCCCTGATAACAAAAAAAAGTAACAGATAAAAAGTCTTCATTTGTATGCTGAACCAAAAACTTTAATCTGGAATTATTTAACACTGTGTTAACATTGCTAATGTTGTGTTAGCAGCCATGAAGTAATTAAGACTCATTCATACAAGACTAACCAGAGAGGATCATTTCAAATTGAAATATATAACGTGATACAGGACTGAATATAACATCATTGTGTAAAAGTCCAGAGCCTCTGAGGTTCTAACATTGCACAAAGCAAAGGTCACGATCATGAAGTCCGGGGGTTGTTCATCTTCTGGGGTGGAGCTGTAAAGATTTCCCTCTGAGGGAGCTGCTGGTGAAGATGGAGAGTCCTGCTTGATCCCTGCAATGAGCTTACAGATGATGTTCCTGAAAGGACAGCTCAGCTGTGATGAAAGAGAGAAAGTTTCTCCAAACCTCTGAACCCCAGAGTTCAGATCCATCCCTGTCCTGATGATCTCAATGTTTTTTTTCTACCAAGAGTAAATGTAGCTGTTTATAAAATGTGGACTCAGGGGGCTCTGTGTTGCATACCGTCACTGGTTCAAAGCAAAATTTAAAAAAAGAACACTTGTTATCACACTTTGTCTCTGCTTGCGTACCTTCTATATTTTGTTGTCGGTGATTAAACAATCATATTTGACAGGAGACACTCCCTGCCCCCCCTCCATATTCAAATGTGGTCACCTCTATCACAATATAAAATATTTAAATATTCTAGAAGATACCATAGCTCCCTCTTAAAGTTGAATGAAGGCCAGTGAATAAAAGAATTTAAGACAGAAGAAATGTTCCCACGTTGTTTTTTGCATATTTTATATTGCCTATAACATATTGAGTTTGTAGGTCTGTGGCTCGCTTTCAGCTATACAACGCAAAACATGTACAGAGGAGAGAAGGGTGTCACAGCTCCTGCAACAGATGAAATGTAGACAAAATGCTCAAAGAATTCTGAATTGAAATCATCATCATTGTCACTTTGTCTTCTGTGGTTTTCAGGCTTTTGTGCATTCCTTCTTTTTAAGAATGTGCCAGACTGGATTTGGCCACTCGTAGTTTAACACACAGCAAGTTCAGGAAAATGTCTGAAAAGCTCAGGAAATGGATCCAACAAAGAATAAAACATGAGGAGGTGACTTTGTATGTGTATGGATTTTTTGTTACAAATGTGCAAGTCTTGAATCAGTGCTCAAACATACAAAAGAAAAACATCTCTACAAAGCTAATACACATTTATTTTATTGACAAGACAAAAAAAAGATGCAAAGTTGTGGAAAGGATGCATTATTGAACTATGCAAAGTCATGGAAACACAAAGCATTTGAGCTAGCTTTGAGCAGGGAAAACTAGTTCTTTACTTTACGATAGTGTGACTGAGTTATTCTGCTATTAGACAAAGCTGAACATGTATGAGTAACCAGAAACTGTTGTTAGATATACACAGAATGCATAAGGGCAACAAAAGCTGCTCTGTCATTATGCAGCATCATGTTTACATCTGTGTATGAATATCAGATGTCTTTCAGTGTATCTTGGCCCTTGGGGTTCTCCAACCAATGAGGAGGCCAGCTGGCTTTGACACTGGGTCTCTCCTTCAGCAGATTGTAGTACTCTCCCAGTTTAGGATAACGCTCTGGAGACAACCTACGAATCAGAATTAAGAAGACTTTCAAGTCCCGGGTCTACAGATCATCCTTCATTTTACTGATGAGACCACATGGAAATGCAAACAGCCTCTGCGTGCTTACCCAAACCTGAAGAGAGTGCCAACTGTTGGAAAAACGACCACGTCTGCTAGCGTGAAAGATGGTCCTGCCAGGTAAGAGCCTGAGCCCAGCTTGAAAAAACAAAAATACAGTTGGAACAAATCAAAGCAGGCCGAGTCTGTCTGAGTTTGTGTGTTCATGCACATACCTTCTGCAGGTAAC